CTCTATTTCAGCACCTACTGTCTTGCCACATAATCTAGCACTGCTCATGTTCCATTTGACTGTATTGTATTTCATTGGCTCTTTCATGTGTGCTACCACTGATGGCGCAGGTAGATCTCAAGTTCCTGGAGGCCAAACAGCATCTTACATTTCTCAGTAGTCCTCAGAGAATTCAATATTGGTCCCTAAATAAGCATTCAACAAATGCTAAATGAATAAAGATTTCAGACTGGGCGCAGTGGGAGGCTGAGGTTGGTGGAAGACTTGAGGTCAGGAGTTTAAGACCAGCCTGTCCAACATGGTGAAACCCCATCTCTACTAAAAATACAAAAAAAAAAAAAAATTAGCTGAATGTGGTGATGTGCATCTGTAATCCCAGCTACTTGGGAGACTGAGGCATGAGAACCACTGGAACCCAGGAGGGGAAGGTTGCAGTGAGCCTGATCACACCATTGCACTCCAGCCTTGGTGACAGAGTAAGACTCCATCTAAAAAAAAATTAATAAAGATTTGGAAGCATACAAGGATGGATGGAGTTAAATAAATAGTTAAACATATTCCTTCTTCCTCTCTAGCAGGGAAATTACAAATGAGTCCTCTTGCTGCCAAGATTCTTGCAGGCAGACTTCGGGAGAAAAGGCATCCTAGAAAAGTGAATATCCACAGGGAGAGGCGGTCACTGAGCCATCCCCCTCCTCTCCCCAGTAGTGTCTGGACACATTTGCTGCTCAAGCTGCCTTCATCATCCTGGCTGCCAAAGGAGGGATCCTGCGGGTTCCTAGAATATGTGGTCCTGAGCTTTCAGAAGGAGCCCACCATTCCCTCCTCCCTTATTGCACTGTGAAGCAGCTAAGTAACCCTTGTGTATTATGGCCCAGAAGCTCCGGCCCTTCTCTTCTCCTGCTGTGATGGCTCCCTCAGCCCAGGAGACCAGATGTGCTCCTGCTGGTGGTCTGGAATTATTCTTTCCCATCGACCCAGGCTCCCAGGAGGTCTTGAGAGAGGCAGAAGTCTGGAGAGATAGTGCAGGATGCTTACTCACTTCTGGGGTCTAAACTCTGGAAACACTGAGCAGGCTTAGGCCTGAGGCAGTCCAGATGACAGCCAGCAAAGTTTGCTGAGGGTTTGCTGAGTGGGCTGAGTTATAACCCAGATCCTGGGAGGCAGGCAGGGAAGAGGAACTGCGGAAGGGACCAGTGAGTCCTCTGTGAGGTATCCCCACAAAAATCCATCACCCAAGCCCATTTGCAGAGGGGAGCAAGGACTTGCCTGATGCAGAGAGAAGCCCTAGCAGAGGCTGCCCAAGGCCCTGGACTGGCACCTGGTCTTGCCTGGACTTGGATGCTGAACCCTCAGTAAAGTATTGCTTTTTATTTTTTTTATTTTCCAGAAACTGCTAAACAGGAGAGTATTAAACCAAGTGCAGGGTTCATCTAAGTTAGAGCTCACCCACCCACGAAGCTGGCCCTGCAGAGGGGATACATGAGAAAAGCATGAGAAGGTCTAGGCGTAGTGGCTCTCCTCTGTAATCCCAGCACTTTGGGAGGTTGAGGTGGGTGAATCACTTGAGGCCAGGAGTTCAAGAACAGCCTGGGCAACATGGTGAAACCCATCTCTACTAAAAATACAAAAATTAGCTGGGCATGGTGACACACGACTTGTATAGTTCCAGCTACTTGGGAGGCTGAAGCATGAGAATTGCTTGAACCTGGGAGGCAGAGGTTGTAGTGAGCCAAGATTTTGCCACTATACTCCAGCCTAGGTGACAGAGCGAGACTCTGTCTCAGACAAAAAAAAAAAAAAAAAAGAGTCGGGGACACTATAATTCGGAAATTCTGGGGCAAGGCAGGGTTTTCCTCAGCACCAGCACCTGCTCTCAAGTTAGCCCCCAAACACATGCCTTAATAAAAGGCAGAAATTTTATCTTTGTAGGGGAGAAAAAGTTATCTTTCCCTCACCCATCACAAGGCTCATGGCTGCTACTCCTATAACAAAAAACAAGCTAATAAAAGAGAAAAACATCACAAATATATTTAATCAAAGTTTTAAATGACACAGGAGCCTTCAGAAAGGAACATTCAAAGACCCAGGAAAAAGTGTTGTTTTGCTAAGGTTGAAGAATGGACAGTTGTGTAGAAATATGCCTGGACAAAAAGCACATAATCTGATGCTGAATGCTGGGGGGAATCTTAGCGAAGCCTGTTGGTTCAGCTTCTTCCGTTATCTCTGTGTCTTTATCCCTTTCCCCCAGTCATATAGCAGGACATCTGTCACATGAGGGTCTTCAGGAGAGAAGCGAGGGAAGGGAGAGTTCCTTTTATGGCCTCAGGGGAGAAAGGCAGGAGAAGGTCAGAGAGTGAACTTTCTGTTTGTGCCAAGGTTCCATCTTTTGCGGTATCATGTTTGGAGTCCTGAGACCCAGAGATGTTCACTGCTGACGAGGTGAAAATGAAGGGAGTTTTCCTCTATTGGCCTTGGAATAGAGATTGCCTTCGTTTTTTTTCTGGACAGAGTCTTACTCTGTCACCCAGTTTGGAGTGCAATGGCATGATCTCGGCTCACTGCAACCCCCGCTTCCCAGGTTCAAGCGACTCTCCTGCCTCAGCCTCCCAGATAGCTGGGATTACAGGTGCCTGTCACCTCACCCAACTAATTTTTGTATTTTTAGTAGAGATGGGGTTTCACCATTTTGGCCAGACTGGTCTGAACTCCTGACCTCAGGTGATCTGCCCACCTCAGCCTCCCAAAGTGCTGGGAATACAGGTGAAATTGACTTCCCATGTGTGGTAGGGAACTAGAATGAGCAAGGCCCCAGAACCTAGAGTCTAGTTTGGTGGTCAAAGCCAGAGCACCCCAAGGTGGCTGTTTGTCCCAGTGTCTTTTGGTTTAAATTAAGGCATGTAGGCAGCTCTCTTAAAAAATGTAATTCACCTGATAACCAAGGAAGAGATAACACATTCCCTGCTTAGTGGGTGAGATTCTACAGGCTCTTTGCCAAATGAGACTTGAAGGTGGGTAATTCATATCCAATATGGAGTTTTAAAAAGTATTTGGACAGCAAGACTTTATTTGAATGAAAAACATACTCTAATCTGAATAGAAAAACTCAATGTTGTAAAAGTTGAAGGGTGACAGAATATACCACCTCAAAATATAACTCTTTGGCATAAGGGTTATTTTGAGCCAAAGACAACTGAAAGCCAGCAGGTACTGGAAGGGCACTTCTGCTCACTCCTTTTTATTTCTGAAAGAAAGAACAAAAGCCCCATGTGGAAGATGTCTTCCTTATACCAGAAGGAAAGCAACTCTCTTTAATTATTATTATTATTTTAAATAAGAAATAGAGAGAGGTCTCCCTATCATCAGACCAGGCTGATCGCCATCTCCTGGCCTCAAGTGATCCACCTACGTTGGCCTCCCCAAGTATTAGGCTTACAGGCATGAGAAACCACGCTGGTCAGAAAGCAATAGTCTTATCACCAGGGACAGAGAAAGGAGGCAGAGATGAATCCGTACAAACCGACCTTGGAAACCAACCTTCCTCTTCCCAGTCACTGCTCATAAGCATCTTTCCTAGCCCAAGCCCCCTTACCTTGCCACATTTTTATCATTTATTTTGTGAAACTCTTTGTCCAACTCAGTATATGAGTGTTTGACTCTAACTGCTTCTTTGGGTCTTCATTTCCTTATGAGGGCTCCCATCTCATGTAAAATTTATTTAAATAATTATGTTTCCTTTCCTTCTGTTAATCTGTTTTATGTTGATTTAATTCTCGGGCCCAGTTAAAAACCCTAAGAGGGTAGAGGTAAAAATTTTGCCTCCCATACAAGGTAAAATATTTTCCCTAAAATAATCTATTAATTTGATATAGTCTCAGCCAAATGTCAACAGGATTATCTTTGCTTTGAACTTGGCAGAAATGGCATTGAGATTGATGTGGGACCGGGAGCTGTAACTTATGCCTGTAATCCCAGCACTTTGGAAGGCTAAGACGGTTAGATCATTTGAGCCCAGGAATTTGAGACCAGCTTGGGCCAAACAGTGAAATCCCATTTCTACAAAAAGTAAAAAACTGGCCAAGTGTGGTGGCACTCACAGGTAGTCGCAGCTACTCAGGAGGCTGAGCTGGGAGGATTACCTGAGCCCAGGAGGTTGAGGCTGCAGTGAGCCATGATTCAGCCTGGGTGCCAAGGCAAGACCCTGTCTCAAGAGAGAAAAACAAACAAAAATTGATTTGGAGAAATAGACATGGGAGGAGGATTGGGGAAATTTAAAAATAAATAAATATTAAAGGATAGAACCTTCTATATTAAAGCATATTTTAAAGGGTACATAAAGGGGTCCCTGGGACCCTATGTGGGCCTCATTTCATAGGGGACTTTGGGAGTTGCTGTAAAACTCTGCTCCCACAAGGTTGGACTCACGTAAAGAAGTCATAGCGATCCCTGTTGTCAGTCCTCTCCCATCGTCCTGAAGGCTGGGGAGTCATGAAGCTATCCTTCAGGGAGTCATTAGGCTATACATACTTCCCCCTGGCCCTTTCCGTCAGTATGAGCTGAGCAGAAGGCCTTAAACACGAAGGCAATGTGGGGCTTTATATACACATGTTGAGCTGTTCAGGCCCCAAGCATGGGATTTCTTCTTGCTATTGATTATTACTTGGGTCCTTGTGCTTTGTCTTCCTTCAGTGTCTTCATGCAAAATTCAAAGCATTAATTTAGGCCGGGTGCGGTGGCTCATGCCTGTAATTCCAGCACTTTGGGAGGCCAAGGCAGGTGGATCACCTGAGGTCAGGAGTTCGAGACCAGCCTAGCCAAGATGATGAAACCCCATCTCTACTGAAAATACAAAAAATTAGCTGGGCATGGTGGTGGGCCCCTGTAATCCCAGCTACTCAGGAGGCTGAAGGAGGAGAATGGCTTGAACCCAGGAGGTGGAGGTTGCAGTGAGCCAAGATCGCGCATTGCACTCCACCCTGGGAAAGAAAACAAAACAAAACAAAACAAAACAAAACCAGAAGCATTAATTTAAAGGACAGAAAACATTTAGGGTCAAAATTTGCTTTAGAGGGAAATTTAGTGGGTGGAAACTGGTTGTAATGTTTCTCTGGGTGTTGGTGGTGGCTTGCCCTACCTCAACCCTCTCCCCAGCCCCTCTCATTCCACAGATAACTGAGAGTGGGGACTCTTCCAGAAAACAGCAGAGACCCAGCCACGTGGATATTCTTACTCCTTCCCACAGCCTTTTCAGCAGCCCTGGACTCCATTCCCAGAAGGAGCACTTGTTTTACTTGCTTCTCTATCAATTTGCTTTGGGAAAAATGGTTTGCAATTGAGGGTTTGAATCAAAATCCCACAACAGCAGTTTTTCTCTTTTGCAGAAACCACTCTTTATTTTTGCCAAACACTGGGTACTCAAAGCAATTTGCCTTTTGTCTAAACGGAGCAGAGCTGTTCTTGGGCCCGAGGTGGATTTCTAACCCTCTTTCCCTGACTCTGACTAAGAACCAGTGGCTCTTGCGGGGGAATGAAGTTATTGCAGGAGTCTGGGAGGGAAAGAGCAAATGTGCACATGGCATCAGCCCTGCCCCCAGGAGCTGCTGGAGTGGGGTCCTGTGTGTTGACACCCAATGGCGGAGACTCAGATCAGTCATCACTGCAGAGTGGCTTCTTATTTTAACACTGTGCCAGGAACCAATGCACAGGTTCATGCAGCTCAAAGGCAGCAGGGGCTGGAGTTCGGGCTCCTCTGGTGTTTAATGGAGCCCCAGAAGGGGCCTGCAGCCCTAGCTTCCTGGGAGCTTGAGGGGGGGGCCCTCCAACCAGCATCACACCCCTCATCCCAGCCCCTTGCCTGCTGCATTGCACCACTGATTTAGTGAAGACATCATCCTCACCCCCTTCCGAGAGCTGCTTGCTGCTCTGCTCTGACAATTACACTAGCTGCTGCAGAGAAGTGCGCATCCCCACAGACATATGGCTTTTTAAAGTGAAAAATTGCATTAGCAAATTTCTTATTAGCTCTGCTGTCAGGAGGGATCTCCTGCCATGTTAGCTTGCTGAGGCTGATGCATAACTTCCTGACCGTTAATTACCATGCCAAGGGCTAAAGGGACTCAGGAGCTGGTGGGTTGATGAGGGGAGGCCCTTTTCTCTCTTCCCCTTTCCATGAGAGATCAGGAAGGCTGGGCTCAGTGGCCCTTAAGCTGTCTTTAGTCTGGTTCCGCAGTGAGCTCTAGACTTTAGGCTTCTGATCTTCGTGGGTAGGGCACAGGATACCCAGATATCATCTGGGCTGCTTGGGGTTGGGTTCTCCCTCAGGGCCTTCAGGATTTGGCAGCTTGAATCTGCACAGCATCTCTTTTGGAGCTGCATATTCAAGACAAAGCCTGGACTGGGTCCCAGAAAGGTGCTCTGGCTTCTCCTTGGGGGTTCAAGGCCAGTGATCCTCCTTATTCCTGCTCCTCTCATGTCAGACAACTGAAGAGTCTCCTCCCCGAAGGTGACATCATGTCTCCTGCTTAGGTCTTTTCTTGGTGGCTGTCCAAGGAACTGCATACTCAGGATGTTCAACCTTAATTTCCATGGACTCAGGCTCTCCTCTTATATGAGAAATTGCATAAAACTCAAACTCACTGGGGAGCAAAAATGAAAAAAGAAACATTTCAATTTCTTATCTACCACCCAATACAAGTAAGCATTTTGAGGATCTCTGAGTCCTTTGAGAATCAGACAAAAAATACAAACTTGTGCATCCAGTTTCAGAGTCTTTCTAGTCTCTCTGCAGCCCATTTATGAATCCATGTTATATAGGTGCCCTTTCCTACACCCTCCCACCGCCTTCCCCCCTCCTCCCTCCCCCCTCCCCCACCCCCGACCCCAGTAGCCGATTCCTAGGAACTGACCATATCAGCAGCCTCCTGCCACAAGAAGTGAGTTAGCCTGAAGCAGCAGAACCAGCTCCCCAAGGCAACCCAGGGCACAGTTTGGGTGAAGTCCACTAAATGCAACTGGTTATTTCTTGGGTTCCTTAGACATGGTGAGACAGAAATGTGCTCAGCGTGGCAATGACTTTGTGGCCAGGTCTACATTAACTACTCATTCTGAGAAACCAGTTCTTGTGGCTGGGAGTCTCCTGTAGTAGCATTTTCTTGTCCTGGTGTGCTCCTGCTAAGAAGGGAGGTGAGGGAGGAGGAGGAGGAGGAGACTGCAGCAGAAAAAGAGAAGATTCTGAAATGGGTGCGGGGGAGGGTATGAGTGTGGAGAAAGGCAGAGAGAGGGGGTGGGGACGAGAGCTGAATTCTTCATTATTCAGCCTAAGGATGCTTTAGATGGAATCTCTGAAAAATCTGCGAGGATGAATTTGCACTCTTTAACACACGTGGCCTCAAGTTCTGCCTCATCTTGAGCTTTAGCTAGGAGTGGTGCTCTGCTCTGTGAAATCAGAAAAACACTCTCCTTTCTTGTCACCTCTAGGCTAGGCTTTAGGAAATGCCCATAGGAAGATGGAAAAGTGGGAGGAGGTTCTCTAAGGGAATAGGGTGGCTACAAAGTTATTTGCTATCACCCCTAATTGTTTCCATGACTCCCTGAGGGAAGCAAGAGAGAACTTCGCAAGAAGACCAGGCCCAGCCTGGGTGTTTGGAGGGATAGAAGGTGATGATAACCAGCCCAACACAAATTGCCTCCTTCTCTGAACTTCAGGAGCACGTGTTGCCTTTGACTCAAATCCCAGCACAGCCTCTGGACTGCAGCCCAACCAGGTCCCATCCTCATCAGCCCCCTCTCTCCCTCCTACCTCCAGGTTGGTGCAGTCATGCAGCTAGGCTCTTGCTGCAAGCCTAGCCTAGCATCTGCCAGGTTTCCCAAGTCTCCTTCCAGGACTGACCTGCTTGCCATCCTCTGGAGACTCCAGCCCATTTGCTCTCATCCTGATCTTGGGCTCTTTTTTTTTTTTCAATACAGACAAGGTCTCGTTTTGTCACCCACGCTGGTCTCGAACTCCTAGGCTCAAGCCATCCTCTTGTGCTGGACTCCCAAAGTGCTGGGATTATAGGCGTGAGCCACTGTGGGCAGTCCAGTTCATTTTTGAGGAGGCCAGTCCTTGGACTTTCTAGGTCTAATACCTCAGCCATCTTTGTTTCTCTAGCTCCCATTGTCCATAGGCTAGGGCATGAGAAACCACCTTGCGGGCACCTGACCTACCCCTACTTCATTCTCAGGACAAACACCAATCTAGCCACTGATGGGGAAAAGAGCAGAGGTGTTAAAAGGGCTCAAGATTCTGTGACTTGGCCGGGCATGGTGGCTCACACCTGTAATCTCAGCACTTTGGGAGACCAAAGCGGGTGGATCACGAAGTCAAGAGTTTGAGATTAGCCTGGCCAATATAGTGAAACCGCGTCTCTACTAAAAATACAAAAATTAGCCGGGTGTGGTAGCATGTGCCTGTACTTCCAGCTACTCAGTAGGCTGAGGCAGGAGAATCGCTTGAACCCAGTAGACAGAGGTTGCATTGAGCCGAGATTGCACCAATGCACTCCAGCCTGGGTGACAGAGCGAGATTATGTCGGAAAAAAAAAAAATCTGTGACTCAGAATGAGCGATTTGTGCTGACTTAGTCTTTCTGAGGACTCACCAGGCCAGGCTTTAGGTATGTCTTCTCCCTGCCCGTGGAGGAATGGCTGAGAGGTGGCCCTGCAATAGAAGGGTTGGTTCACAGAAAGAGGGACCCTGTTGGCTGCCAAGAGGATGAAATTCTGCAATGGCTCATGGGTGAAGTGAAAGGAATCTGTCCCTGAAAATGTTCTCCAGGCATCTGCCATCTGTCCTGTGTGGCCTTGGCATTTCCTCCCTTCCTGCTCTGGGACGCCGGGACTGCTCCTTCTGGCTGTCCCATGCTGTGCCTCGCACTGCTTATTCCCTAGGGAATCAGCTCAGGCTTTGTCTGATGTTAAGGGCTCTTTGCCTGGCTGTTGGGGAAGAGCAGCCTCTGTGGCCCAGGAATGTCATTGTTCTCTAAGAACTTAATCTACTTTCAGGAAAGGGTTTGAAATGGAAGAAATTGACTATCTCCCCAACCCCCTGTCCTGAGACCCCTGTATCCTTACCAACTGTAGCTCCGTGGAGAGGAGAGGAAACAAGAATTCATAGAAGTAAATGATCATCATAACCCACAAAAACACACCCAAGGCCTAATTCTAAAGCCCTTCTCTGTTCACTGTATCAGCCTTCCTCCAGCAGTCCGGAGTCCTCTCTCAGGGGGATATCCTTCTCACCCCTGGGGATATTGTTCAGAAGCACATATGTGCCTGATGCGTCTGAGGGCCTCCTCTTTGAGGAAAAGGATTAAGTTGATATTAGAGCATGCAGAAAGTTCTCTGAGTTCCCACATTCCTGCCCAGACAGGACCCTACCCTGTTGTTCCCAGGGTGATCACTCTAATATTACCATTTCTGCCTAGATGGGAGGCTGGAGAACAATGTCTTCTGTAAAGCAAGAACTCTGAAAATGCCCAGACACCAAATTCCCTGAGTATTTCTCCCAAACCCCAGGAAAGGAAACTGTGTTGCTCACCTCAGCCTCCCAAAGTGCTAGGATTACAGGCAGGAGCCACTATGCCCAGCCTTGAGCTGAATACTGAACAATAAAATTCCAACTTCACCTTGGTCTACAAGTCTTCCTCTCCTCCTTCACTCCCTCCCCAGCCCACTCTGCTCTGGACATACTCAGACTCATATTTCTTGAACCCACTCAAATGGTTCCTACCTCAGGGTTTTGTAAGTACCTGCACCTCATTCTGAAATACCCTTCCTCATATCTGCTCCTGTCAGGCCCCTCACCTTTCAAGTCTCAACTCAAATGTCATCTCTTCCAAGAGGCCTTTCTTGTTTGTCCCCTCTCAAGCGTCTTCCCCTCCCCTTTCACTGTCTGTTTCATTTCTATGTTTTCATTTTGTCAGAGCACCTATGACTACTGGAGATGATCTTGTATTTATGTATTTGCTTACTAGGTGATTGTCTCCCTCTACTGCTCCCTCCTCCATTGTTCCGTGAGATGAGACCCTGGTCTTGTTCACTGCTGTTTCCCCAGTGCCCAGAAAGGTACCTGGCTCACAGTAAAGGTGTGTAATCGTATTTGTTGATATGATGGGGAATTATTACAATCTGGAGGCCAGAGCCAGAGAGGCCACTGGGATGGAAAATGGAAAGAGGACACTAGGCCCTGTCTTTTTCACTCACTGTCCTTCAGAAGCCTCCCAAAGCCAAGTGGAAAAAGTCCAGATGTGTTATCCTGACATGCAAAGCCCCAGTCCATCCACCTTCCTAGGCTCATTTCCTTCCAGCCCCCTTTGGTCCTCCAATGAATGTGCCAGCCTTTCCAAACTGCTAGATGGTCCTCATAGTTCGAAGTTCTTTCATGTGTATTTTTTGCACATGTTCCTGCTAGAATGCCATTAGTTTATGCAATTAGCAGTTATGGTATCTCCTTTTGACAGTAACTGTGAGAATTCAAGATGCTCTTAGCACAGTGCCTAGCCAGAAGTCAGTCCTCACTGAGTGCTGCTTAGCAGCCTTCCGCTTCCTCCCTACAGGGACTGCATGAGCACAGGGAGCACCTCCTCTGTGAAGCTCAGACCTAGCACTTCATTGGTAGTCTCCGCAGTTAGAGACCTGTTAGGGGGTCTGTTTCCATATGCTGTCTCCCTGGGCAGAGGCATCTGTATCTCCTTTGTGCCCACCCATGATAGCTGACATGTAGTAGGTGTGAAATGTATGTCCGCTGAATAACTGGAGCCGAGGTGGGTCTGGGACCTGTGAAGCAATGGTGTCTGGCTGGGGTGGAGGGTTTGTTCATCTTCACAGACCCAGAACACGTACGCCTGCTGACCTCATAGGGAAAGAAAGGTCAGTGTCTGCACCCTCCTGTGGCCAGGAAACCAGGAATGGGGAGGCAGCATCTCTCCTGCAGCCTAATCAGCCATCTGAGTACATCCAGCCATGAAATTAGAGTCTACAGCCTAAGCACCATGGCCATATCCAATTTTCCATCAATGAAATATTTAGCCACTCTACAGCCCTGATCTGCTCTGTCTGGAAGGGAGGGGCTCCTCCCTCTCCTCCCTGCAGATGCCACCTTGCAGTTCCCTGACCAAGCCTTTTTCTACCCTACTTCTGTGCCTTTACTAATTTGATGTGTATTCCACTCCTTCAAATCAGGAATGCCTTCCTCCTCCTAGTTGACTATCCAACTCCCCTTCCCCAAGGCCCATCTCCTCTGTGAAACCTTGGCTAGAAGTGATTTTTCCTTCCCTAGACCTCTGACCTCACCTGAACAGCAAATTCACACTTCACAATCCCAGCTGGGTGGAATTAATTCTTTTTGTTGTTGTTGTTTTGAGACAGAGTCTTGCTCTCTCGCCCAGGCTGGAGTGCAGTGGCTCGATCTCAGCTCACTGCAACCACCGCTTCCCCGGTCCTGCTTCAAGCAATTCTCCTGCCTCAGCCTCCCAAGTAGCTAGGATTACAGGCATACACTACCACGCCCAGGTAATTTTTGTGTTTTTAGTAGAGACAGGGTTTCACCATGTTGGCCAGGCTGGTCTTGAACTCCTGACCTCGTGATCTGCCCGCCTTGGCCCCCCAAAAGTGCTGGGATTACAGGTGTGAGCCACCAAGCCCAGCCTGGCATTAATTCTTTTTTTGGGGGGGACGAAGTTTTGCTCTTGTTACCCAGGCTGGAGTGCAGCGGCGCAATCTCAGCTCACTGCAACCTCCGCTTCCTGGGTTCAGGCAATTCTCCTGCCTCAGCCTCCTGAGTAGCTGGGATTACAGGCACGCGCCACTATGCCCAGCTAATTTTGTATTTTTAGTAGAGATGGGGTTTCACTGTGTTGACCAGGATGGTCTCGATATCTTGACCTCGTGATCCACCCGCCTCAGCCTCCCAAAGTGCTGGGATTACAGGCTTGAGCCACCGTGCCCGGCCTGGAATTAATTCTTAACTGGACCAATCATCATTCAAAGGGGATGAAGACCTTTGACTCAGAATGATGGCTTAGTGCTGCTGTGGATTTTCCCTATGTAGATTGGGGTCGGGCTGGGGTGCTTAGCAGAAAGTAGGAATGGGAACTTCCAGTGAAAACACTTGGTGGGACTTTCAGGGACCTCTGCCTGTCCTGAGCCCCTAAACCAAGGACCTTGACCAAGGACCATTCTCCAGTCTTGCCCCCACTCCAGACCAAAGACCTTGAGGAACAGGGAAGGACAGGGGAACATTTGGGGTCAGCTGTGCAGTACTGTCCAGCCACAAGGTGTTGCCTCCCAGATGCACAGTGATTGCCATTCAATGTGGTGAGTTTGGGTATGTTGCCAGGTTGCCAAGTAACACACAGCAATGAGCTGAGGGCAGCATACAGGCTGATTTCTGGGAAGAAAGGGCATCAGCATGGGGCCCTTTGGCCAACTCTGTATAATCAGAGAAGTACGGCCTTGCTTCACGCTTCTGGAAATTAGGTGTAAATAAGATATGAAATTGTTTGTAAATAAGATCAAGTCTGGCCGGGGGCGGTGGCTCATGCCTGCAATGCCAGCACACTGGGAGCCCTAGGCCGGTGGATCACTTCAGGTCAGGAGTTTGAGATCAGCCTGGCCAACATGATGAAACCCTGTCTCTACCAAAAATATAAAAAATTAGCCAGATGTGGTGGCATGTGCCTGTTATCCCAGCTACTTGGGAGGCTGAGGCAGGAGAATCTCTTGAACCAGGAAGGCGGAGGTTACAGTGAGCAGAGATCGTGCCACTGCACTCCAGCCTGAGTAACAGAGCCAGACTCCGTCTAAAAAAAAAAAAAAAAAATCTAATCTAATTTTTATACACATTATTAAAGTGATTTTCCCCAAATGGTTCATACAAGGCAACACTGGTTGGCCTATCACCAGCAGGGTGGTATTGTGTGGAGAACAAGCATGGGACCTGGATTTGGAGTCAGGCAGGCAGATGGGGCTTTGAATCTGGGTTCTGCTGTTTACTCAGCTGAGTTGGCCACAGGCCTGACCTTGACCTCCTGTACATCAGTGTCTACATTCGTGTTGAGCACGTGTATGTACAACATGTTTAGCTCTATAAACACAGCACTTGCATTTTTTGAGTATTCTGCATGTGCTAAGCACTGTGGCAAGCATTTTATTTTCATTACCCTCATTTGGTCTTCATAACAACTCTGGGAGGAAGACATTATTATCCCCATTTTGCAGTTGAGTAAACAGAAGTTTAATAGAGAGGTTAAGTAACTTGTCATAAGACACATTTATTAATGGGTAGATTTATGATTCAATGTCAGGCTCCAAAGCACAGTGAGATCTGCATTCCTGTGCAGTGGAAATGAAATATTTCCCTCCGGGGTGTCTGATGAGCAAATGAGGTAATCTGTATGAAAGAGTCTTGTAAACTGTAAAGCACTATTTTCCAAAGGCAAAGCCTCAGTTCTCACCTTCAACAACTTTATAATTTGACTACATTGATTAATAAGAGTTGCATAGTGCTTAGTTAAATGTAACCTAGTGTCAAAATCTACGGTGTGCACCTTAGCCTGTAGATCCAACGTAGCATCACCACTAACAGGACACAGACATGGCGTGCCACCTGGTGTGATGGGAAGGCACAGCCTCACCTCCATGGCATGTTCTTGCCCAAATGTATCTGACCTGATCGAATCAGACAAATCCAGATTGTGAGACGTTTTACAAGACAACTTATCCCTAGACTTTTCACAAATGTCAATGTCATGAAAAACAAGCAACCAACAAAGGCAGCGGGACTCTTCTAGTCCTCTGTTCTGAAGAGCAGTGGCACTATCACAGCTCACTGTGGCCTCACACTCCTGGCCTCCAGCTATCCTCCCACCTCAGTCTCCCGAGTAGCTGGGATAAAGGTACACACTACCATATCTGGCTAATTAAAAATTTTTTTTAGCGATAGAATCTCACTGTGTTGCCAGGCTGGCCTCAAACTCCTCAAACTCAAACTATTTTCCAATAGTGCTTTACTATTGGAAGAGAATGGATTAGAGGAAACTAAAGAAATATGACAATTAAACAAACTGGTTTCAAATCTTTGTTGTATACTGGATTTTATTTTTAAGTCGTATCCCAGTGACTCAGGAGGCTGAGGTGTTTGAGAGGAGTTCGAGACCAGCCAGGCAACATAGTGAGATTCTATCTCTAAAAAAAACTTTAAATTAGCCGGATGTGGTAGTGTGTGCCTTTATCTCAGCTACTTGGGAGACTGAGGTGGGAGGATAGCTGGAGGCCAGGAGTGTGAGGCCACAGTGAGCTGTGATAGTGCTGCTGCTCTTCAGACTGGGCAACAGAGTGAGCCCCTGTTTCTAAAAATGAATAAATAAGCCATAAAGGATATTTTGGGAGAATTGAGGACATCTAAATATATTTATTACATTAGCTAATATTGCTGTATGAACATCAAATTTATTGAATGTGATGAAATTATGGTTAGAAGAGAAATTATAAGAGGAATGTCCTTGTTCTTTTTTTTGAGACAGGATCTCATTCTGTTATCCAGGCTGGAGTACAGTGATGTAATTATAGCTCATTGCAAACCTCCAACTCCTGGGCTCAAGCAATCCTTCCCTCTCAGCCTCTCCAGTAGCTGGGACTACAGCCATGTGCCACCATGCCCAGATAACTAAAAAAATTTTTTTTAGTAGAGATGAGGTCTCACTATAGTGCCCAAGCTGGTCTCAAACTTCTGGCCTCAAGTGCTCCTCCCACCTCAGCCTTCCAAAGTGCTGGGATTACAGGCGTGAGCCACCACACCTGGCCTGTTTTTGCTCTTAAGTATTTAAGCATCATGAAATCTTTGGCTTTCAAATACTTTAGCAAATGCATATATATGTGTATGTGAATATATTTTTATATATTCACATATACATATATATACATACATATGAAGAGAGAGAGAAAGAAATAAAGCAAATGGCGAAGTTTTAACCCTTGGTGAATTTAGATAAAGGATTTACTGGTATTCCTGTATTATCCTTTCAACTTTCTTCTAGGTTTAAAATTTTCCAATAAAAATTGAGAAGTTTAACAGAATTTAATAGAGAGAGCAAGTAACTTGCCATAAAACACATTTATTAAAGGGCACATCTGGGATGCAATGTCTATATCAGTGCTAAGAGGCAATGGCTGTTTTTAAAAAAATGGCTATTTAAACCTTCCTCTAGGTTTAAAGGAACCCAGAGCTGGCCAGGCATGGTGGCTAACGCCTGTACCTGTAATCTCAGCACTTTGGGAGACCAAGGTGGGTAGATCACTTGGGTTCAAGAGTTTGAATCTGGGCTGGCCAACATGGTGAAATCCTGTCTTTACTAAAAATACAAAAATGAGCTGGGCATGATGGTGCTCACCTGTAATCCCAGCTACTCAGGAGGCTGAGGCAGGAGAATCACTTGAACCTGGGAGGCGGAGGTTGCAGTTAGCTGAGATCACACCACTGCACTCCAGCCTGGATGACAGAGCAAGACTCCATCTCAAAAGATGAAAAATAAAGGAACCTAGAGCTGAACACTTTAATCATATAAAAATAATCTTCACAAAACTTACTTGTTTGCCACACTTTTAATAAGTAGGGAAATGTAACAGAGGCCCCGCATGGTGCCAGGGTCTGAGGCACCTTCTCGACTCTTCTAAAGGAATGACTCTAATATTTTTCATCAGAGCTGCTTTCCCTTTGGCTATAGCATAGTCAAAATAATTCCTGCCCAGTCTCTGGGTTCCTAGGAGACAAGGCTTAACATCCTTGCCAAGACTGGTGAAACCTCTGTGGCCCTGGAGTTTCCATGGTGCAAACAAAGTCCTGGCTCTACCCACAGGCCACGCCAGCTGCACAGGATGGACAAAGATGCAAGAAGACCTAGCAAACGTATGTAGGCCACCATCAGTCATCTGGAATGCTTGTTTAAAATGCCCCATCCCTATGGAGGCTGAGTCCTGGGAATCTTCTTTTGTTTTTCAAGACAGAGACTTGCTCTGTAGCCAGGCTGGAGTGCAATGGCATGATCTGGACTCACTGCAATCTCTGCCTCTTGGGTTCAAATGATTCTCCTGCCTCAGCCTCCCAAGTAGCTGGGATTACAGGCAACCGCCATTACACCCGGTTAATCTTTTTTGCTTATTTATTTATTTATTTATCTTTTTTTTTTTTTGAGACAGAGTCTCGCTCTGTCGCTAGGCACCAGACTGGAGTGCAGTGGTGCGATCTCAGCTCACTGCAACCTCCGCCTCCCAGGTTTAAGCAATTCTCCTGCCTCAGCCTCCCAAGTAGCTGGGACTACAGGTGCGTGCCACCATGCCCAGCTATTTTTTGTATTTTAGTAGAGATGAGGTTTCAACATATTGACCAGGATGGTGTCAATCTCTTGACCTTGTGATTCGCCTGCCTCAGCCTCCCAAAGTGCTGGGATTGCAGGTGTGAGCCACCGCGCCTGCCCTATTTATTTATTTTTGAGACAGAGTCTCACTCCGTCTCCCAGGCTGGAGTACCGTGGTGCTATCTTGGCTCACTGCAACCTCTGCCTCCCAGGTTCAAGTGATTTTTGTGCCTCAGCTTCCCAAATAGCCACCATGCCTGGCTAATTTTTGTATTTGTAGTAGAGACAGGGTTTCACCATGCTGGCTAGGCTGGTCTTGAACTCCTGACTTCAAGTGATCTGCCCACCTTGGCCTCCCAAAGTGCTGGGATTACAGGCATGAGCCACTGGTTCCAGCCAGGAACCTTCATGTTAACCAGCATTCCTCTGCAGCACACTAAAGTTTTGGAACGAACTGTCTAAGCTAACATCCTAACCCCTACACCTAGCGTTCAAGGTCTTGCAAAGTTTGGCTTTCCTTACTCCTCAACAAGTACCTTCCCCTCCAGCCAGGCTGAAGTGTTCCTTAATGTGCCTTCCAGCCTGTGTCTGCTCAGGCCTGCCCTTCACTGGTATCTTTCCTATCTCTCCTTAATCCATGGGATGCCAACTCAGTTTCAAGACCTAATTCAAGTCCCACCTGCTCCCAGCAGCCTTTCTGATCACCCCAGCCTCCCTCCCAAGAGTTTCTTCCTTTCTGTGATTTCATTAAACATTAAATTGGTGGCACTCAGTTTAATACTGTATGATAGACTATTCATTGTGGGTTTTCACTTGCTTTGTTTGACTGAGTTAATGGTATCTTGCTGCAACCTGTGACATTCTCTAGGACGGGAATCACATGTTTCTTTCTTGCAGGCTCCTTAGTACCAAGGACAAAGTTAAAGTCCCAGGTAGATCCTGAGAACCAATTTGCTAATAACCAAATTGAGGAACAGATGGGAGACAAATCAAGTAAAAAGGGCGGAAGGGGAAGAGAAGAGGACTGGCCATGGCGGTGTGTGCAGGGCATGGGACATTTTGGTTGAGCCTGGGATCCTAGGCTCAGTGGATGGGCAGAGTTTGGGTGAACCCCCCCACTCCCACCAGCATAATTATTTGCATCTGGGGCTTGGCTGCTTCAGGGTCTCTGCCCCCACATAACAATTTGCATTTATAAATTTACATAGAAGTGAAGGAGCTTCCTGAGAGGAGACAGGCCCCTGTCACCTCTCCATATTCCTTCCTTATCATTCAAAGTCATGTATGGTGAACATGGGGATGGAAGTGTGGGTGGTAGAGCAGGATGTAGGTCATATGACTGCGCCTCAGTGACTTTACTCCCTCAACTCCATGGTGCCATATCTACCCCAGATCCTCCCTCCACAGACATCTCCCCACCTATGCTTGAAGCAGTTGAGACCAGCAAGTAGGGCTGTGTGGAGAGGGGACACCATGGATATTTTCTCATAAATCTAAATGGGACCTCCCTTGTAGGCTCAGGAAGATGAAGCTGCCACATTCATGCTCTTCCCAGATGCCCTATTTCAGTTGCCTCTGCCTGGAGTGCCCTCTTCTTTGGCGGCTGCCTGGTAAATTTTTGAGGACAGCCTGGCTGGACTTCCCCAGGCAGCCTAAATTCTGCTTCCTGTTCTCATGGTCCTGCTTGAAGGCCTCTGTGAACAGCTCAGTCTCCCCAGTAATATGGGAACCATGACCACTCTCAGGGTGGTAAAGAGAAAACAAGATAATACAAAGCAAAACAAAGGGCTTGAAATTGCTTCTTTACTCCAGTCTCCCCAACTTCACTGATAAGGCTGGTGATTCTGGATACTCTGTAGTGCTGGGTAGGAGCATCCAGAGCAGAGGAGGCTCCTAGCCCTCTGGATGCCTCTTGGCCATGAGCTGCCTGTCCTTGCCCAGACAAAGGAAGTACTCAACCTTAACGTCCATGGGAGAAAACCTAGGGAAGCAGATAGAAGAAGAGCTGCAAAGACAGCAGTCATTGGAGTAACAAGGAAAGGTCAGTGACCTGTGAATTATAAACACAGTCTAGACACAAAGAACCAGGAACCACAGTGGGCTCCTAATGCAGGAAAAGTGAAAGAAAAATCAATGGTGTGGGGAAGTTTCTCCTCCCATCTTTCAAATGGCTGCAGAAGGAGGAGGGAGAGGAACAGCTCTGAGCTGGGAATATATTAGCTGCCAGATCTCGATCCCGTTACCAAGGGAGTTGTGGAGTCCTGATCCCCGGAGGCCTCTCAGGAGATGGTAGATAATTACAGATGGGTCTCTGGTTTGGTATAGTTCTGTCTCAAGGCAAGGGATGGAATATATGACCCCTTCAGCTTCTGTTATCTGTACCGGAGCAGGTTACCACGAGACAAAGAGAATTCAAGAGGCTGTCACATAATTATTTGTGTTGCATGCTTCCTTTAGCTTTTGAGAAATCTCGGAACAAAATCTTCAGTGCTCAAGACCAGAATAAATTTGGTGGTTTTACGACCCACCCCCCATCTTTAATTTAAAATAATTTTTAAAACTTCAATCTCCTGAAATCCTTAAGACAGAAGAAGCTTTAGAGTCAACAAGAACAGGATCTTAAGCTTTCATTAGAAATGTCTGCATTTTTCTCTGATTAAAGGAAGGTGGGATATTAATGAGGAGCATTTAGATGAGGTTCTTAATTTGAAAAGAATATGAGAATTAATGCTTGAGTTTAATTGGAGCCTGAATCATCACAGATAGATTTTTACCCTCTTCTCCTTAATCAATTTCACTCTAATTAATTCTTCTGTGGTGAAGTCTTGTTACATTAGATAGTCTGCTGATCATTTCCACAATCAAGAGACTGTATATTCATGCATTTTTAATAAGGAACGACTGCATCATTTTTCATAAGTGATTCTGGTGGCTGGTGGCTGCAGCCGCTAAAATAATTATAGAGCAGATTACTTACTTTTAAAGCATTGTTTGCTGTCATATTCATCCTAGGTGACAATTTGGAAGAGCTCTGGAGCTGCTGTAATCGTGCAGAGGAGCTGGGTATTTAATATAGCAATTTTCAATGTCAAGTGTGTTTATTCATAGGTCATTGCCCTTTTTTTTCTTTTTCTCCTAAATAAGCACAGGGGTAATTTGGTCTTGCTGACTGATGAAGTCATGTACTAAAGACTGGAAGGCCATTCTAATTGTATGCTTAGTTTGAAACCTTGACTCTTGGAAGGACCTACTTCTGAAGGCTGACTGGCACCTTCTGCCTCCATCTGTGACTGGCTCACATATGACTGTGTATGTCTGATTATTACTTATATGGTGGGGAGCTCTCATGTCAGACCCTGATAGCCTTGCAAGGCTTGAAGGCTTGAAGCAAGGCACACAGTAATTCCAAAGCTTCAGCTGTTTATTGTTTAGCAAGAGGAAGCAGGAAAATCTACCTAAGGGAAAAGACTGCTTTTTGTTTTGGGAAAAACACTGGGCTTTTTCATTATGCAGAGGAAAGGCTCAGAGCTAATTCTGGAATGGACAGGTTGAGACAAGAGGAAATAAATGGCTATGTATGCTAATATAAATGACTGTCATGTGGTTAGTGACAGATAGAGCTACCCTAGTCACCTGGGAATTGGGAAGACTTCCTCTCATCTCTTGAGGAAAACAGAAAGTTGGGGCCTGGACTCCAGATAGGAGACATCTGAACAAATGCCTTCCTCTCTGTGGGAGTTAAGTGAGCTCTGTCATCAGATGGCAGGCCTAGCAGGCCTGGAGCTAAAAGGCAAGTAGGGCACCCCAGGCCATGGAGCAGTGGACACCAGGAGAGTTCAAGGCAACCTCCAACTTAGCTGTTTTTCTTCTGTAATTAAAACTCTCTTTTGCCAGCCCTAACAACTTCAGCCTCAAAGGTATTAACCTTACGATCTTGAGAAAATAAGAGAAGATCCTGTATCTGTGCTTGGAACAGAGTGGGAGGAAAGGGAGTGTGATCTTCCCTGAGACCACCACCCACCATCACCACCGAAAGCCTGCTCAAGAAAGCACTGTGGTCCTGGAGCCCATGTGACGAGCCACACATTGGCTTTGGGAAGCAGGATACTCATGGGATCCATACGGAGACAGAGGCTCAGGCTACGGTCCAGCTCAGGTGGACAGGTGTGGAAGTGGACTGAGACAAACTTCCTTCCCCATCTTCTGGAGAGAGACCTTCAAAAGGAGAGACTACAACTTGCAAAGCACACGGGCATGGATTATTGGCTAGCAGCCATCTGGGCCACCCTTAATAGACATTGCAGTTGGCCAGAGTCTCAAAGGTTGTCATGTCCCCCGCACTCCCCCCGCATTACTCTCCACACCAGCTGTTCAGGGAAAGAGCCCAACTGTAGCAACCACCAGCTCATTTCCCAGGAACGCCACTGCCAGCTGCTCTGCAGAACCCAGGGCCAGTAACTGGTGGTGTCATTGAACCTTAGGTTATTACTCTCACCCCTACTACAGATGAGGAAACTGAAAATTTCTGGTGCTGTTATTCTCTATAGTGAAATGGATCAAAAGCAGCATCCTTAAGACCACTGAAGCAGTTGCAAAGATTGAAAGGGCAAGACCTGAGCAAGTGTTTGGCCATATAGTAAATATGTGGCAAGCAGCCTGGGTGCCAGAGCCAGCCCCCCAAGACCCTATTTCACTGGAAAAGGAAACCTAGGCCCAGAGGGGTAACTTGTTCAAGGTCTATTGATCAGTGACAAGTTCAGACCTTGTGTCCCACGTTCCACAACTCCCAATCCAATATTCTTTCTGGATAGCCCCTCCGTTGGATCAATTTCTCTTTAGCTAGAGAAAAATGACATCCTGCCAGCTTGCCATGTATTTACTGTGTGGCTAAACATTTGTTCAGATCTTGGCCTTCCAATCTTCTCAATTCCTTCAATAGTCTTCAAAACATCCCTTTGGAGCATTTCACTATAGATAGTAACTGCACTAGAATTTTTTAGCTTCCTCATCTGTAACACGGACATAATAATAGCAGAGTTATGGCATTGAGATAATTTATGTAAAGAACTTGGAACAATGTATTCTTTTTTTTTTTTGAGACAGGGTCTTGCTCTGTCTCTCAGGCTGGAGTGCAGTGGTTCAGTCTTGGCTCACTGCAACCTCTGCCTCCCGGGTTCAAGTGATTCTCCTGTCTCAGCCTCCCAAGTAGTGGAACTACAAGCATGTACCACCACGCCTGGCTAATTTTTGTATTTGTAGTAGAGACGGGGTTTCACTATGTTGGCTAGACTGGTCTTGAACTCCTGACCTCAGGTCATTGGCCTGCCCAAGCCTCCCAAAATGCTGGGATTACAGGCATGAGTCACCACGCCCAGCGAACAGTGTGTTCTTTCAAGCCCACACTAAGTGCTTGATAAATGTTTGCTCAAAAAAGGAGGGTATGTGAACCCAAATCACTGTCATCATTTATGAAAGGCTCAAACAAAAGCTAATGCACAAAGGAGGCTGGAATCCAGGGACAGTTGAATTAAAGTGGGGTGTTCCTTTGGGGAGGCATTCTGATCTCTAATATTGTATCAGTCAGTCAGGGGTCCCAGAAGCTAGGAGAGGATCAGTAAGACCCTTATAGCTTTTGGGTCACCTGACCTGGCCAAACCTTGATGCACAATCCAGCCCCAAGGCTGGGATGCTACAGGAGATGGGGAGAGCAGCCAGGTGATTCACTTATAAATTTATATAAACTGCCCTCCATGGACTGTTATGGACTGACTTACCAGGTTCAGTTCTGCAGCTTTCGTCCTGGGTTCAGTGGCTGGGGCATCTGGGTCAGCATGGAGCACCCCAGGAAGGTCAGCATGGAGCACCCCAGGAAGGTCAGCATGGAGCACCCCAGGAAGGTCAGCATGGAGCACCCCAGGAAGGTCAGCATGGAGCACCCCAGGAAGGTCAAGGTATAGTTCTGGTGGAAGGAGAACCTCCATTTCCTCAGAATACCAGGAAACTCTTGGAATATGTGTAGGGACCAATTTCATTTTTTCCTTTATTCTTTGTCCGCCTTTCCTTTATTTTCTCCACTCCCCTAATATTTTTAAGTCCCTCACCCACACCCTAACCACAGTAGCTACTATAAAAAATAAAATCAGACTAAAGGGAAAGGGATAGTTGATGAAGGCGCCTCCACAGGCTGCTGTTCTACGTGTATAAGTCTTATCTCCCTTAGTAGAACAGAGGCTATATTTTGCATTCCACTGGGGATCTGTTACCTCAGTTTGGTCACGGAAAGTACTCAGTAAGTACTTATGGAGTAAAGTTAAATGTTCTAGTGTAGAATTTTATTTTTAGGGCGAAGTTCTGCATGCTAATGTGACACTACTTACTTTTTGGCAGATGGGGAAATTTAGGCTCAAAGTAGTTCAGAGGACTGGTACACACAGTCAGGGCTGGCCTGACAACCCTGCATACTCCAGGGCTCTTATTTCCCAAGTTGTCTCTAAAACATGCTTACTTTTTTTTTCTTGAACAGGGTCCCCTCTGTCACCCAGGCTGGAGTGCAGTGGCACTACTATGGCTTGCTGCAACCTCTTGGGCTCAGGTGATCCTCCCGCCTCAGCCTTCTGAGTAGCTGGGATTCCAAGTGCATGCCACTACACGTGGCTAATTTTTTAAATTTTTTGTAGAGACAGTGTTTCACCATGTTGTCCAAGCTGGTCTTGAACTCCTAGGTTCAAAAGATCCTCCTGCCTTGGCCTCCCAAAGTGCTGGGATTACAGGTGTGAGCCACTGTGCCCAGCCACATTTACTCTTTATGGACTGTTTCTAAAGCCCATTTTCAGGTTTGTCTGGGATCTGTGTCCCAAGGTAAGATAAGTGGCATCTACTAGAAGGCCAGCTACTGCAGATATCAGGTTAAAGGCACTAAGGAAGTAAATCACTTAGTAAGTTAACTTAGAAAGGCCATGATATTAAACTCGGAGCCAACCAGGATTTAATTTATTTGTTACCGAGGTTAATGTCATTTTTACTGCTTGCTAATAAAAGCCTGAGCTCTGGTGCCAAGATTCAGGAGAAATCTTAGTTATCATTTTCCCCTCCATTGGTAAGAAAATGGAGACTGTCAAATTTGGGAAAGCTGGAGGCAAGCGGATAGAGGAGAACATGGAGAACATTTCTCCCTTCTGCTGGTCTGCGGTCTGTTTCCCAGACAGGAGGATTCATGCCACCTTCCCTCATCAGTGTTGCAGCTGCCTTTCTCTTAAGACAGTTTGCTCTGGGAACACAGGTCTCTTCCTGGGACGAACTTGTCCTCACGGTTATCCTGATGCTTTGAACCATGCTATGGTCTGAATGCGTCCCCTCAGAAATTCCTGTGGAAACTTAATCCCCATGGCGGTGATATTAAGCTATTGGATGTGTGACTTTAGACAAGTCACTTAACCTCTCTGGGCCTAGTTTTCCTTATCTGCAAAATGATAAGAATGCCTACCTTACTGACCTCATCCAGCAGCTCATAAGAGCAATCAATGCCATGTTCATTCATTTAACAAATTCTTTTTTTTTTTTTTGAGATGGAGTTTCACTCTTGTTGTCCAGGCTGGAGTGCAATGGCATGATCTCGGCTCACCCCAACCTTTGTCTCTCGGGTTCAAGCAATTCTTTTGCCTCAGCCTCCTGAGTAGCTGTGATTACAAGCATCTGCCACTATGCCCAGCTAATTTTGTATTTTCAGTAGAGATAGGGTTTCTCTATGTTGGTCATGCTGATTTCAAACTCCTGACCTCAGGTGATCTGCCTGCCTTGGCCTCTGAAAGTGCTGGGATTATAGGCGTGAGCCACTGCGCCCGGTCCATTTAACCAATTCTTAACAGAAATCTACTCAAACTAGATCCTAGGGACACAGCTGTAAATAAGACAAACTCAGTCTCCACTTTCTTTTAGCTTACACTTTGACAAGGGGTTGTAGGCAATGAAATAATCATTGAAGTGACTGTGTGTCCCAGTGATTTATTGCTGTATAAAAAATCATCTCAAAATTCAGTGGCTTAAAACAAGAACAATCATTTAATGGGGATTGACTGGACCTAGACAGTGGTTCTTGCTCAGGGTTTCTCATGCAATGGCAGTCAGACAATAGCTGGGGCTAGAGCCAGAGTCGTCTCAAAGGCTTGCTCACTCACATGTGTGGTGTTTGATGCTGGCTATCAGCCAAAATATCCACAATGTGGTCTTTCTATGTGACCTGTGCTTTCTCCCAGCATGGAGGCTAGTTTCTAAAAGGGAGCTAGGCTGAAGTGCATGGCATTTTTATGATCTAGCCTTGGAAGTCACATAGTTTCACATTTGACATATTCTGTTGGCCAATGCAGTCACAAAGCCCGACCCAGATTCAAAAGGAGGGAACATAGATCCCACCAATCAATGGTGCCAACGTTATGGTGCAAGAAGAGCATGCAAGATGGGAAATATCATGGCAGCCATCTGCAAAAAATACAACTCGCCACACTATGCGTTACATGTACAGTTCTTAGATTAGTGCCTGGCACTTAAAAAATATTCAGCAAAGTTTTAACTATTTGCTTTTAGATGCTTTTAAGGAAAATCATATGGTTTCTGATAGTTCTTTGAAAGTCCAAAACTTTATGCAAATATGAGAGCTCTAAAATCTATGTCTCATGGTATCTTAGTCATTTGAACTGTAGGCTTCCCAAGAGGAGAGACTACGACTTTTCACTTTTTCTGGATTGTCTTACCCTTTGACTTAATTCCCTCTGGTTGATTATGTAGGTAGGATATTAAAGAGATGCCAAGACGCCATAGGTTAGCCTGTGAGAATGAAACTAGAAAATCAACACAGGCTGGGTGCAGTGGCTCACACCTATAATCCAGTACTTTGGGAGGCTGATGCAGGTGGATCATAAGGTCAGGAGTTCAAGACCAGCCTGACCAACATGGTGAAACCCCATCTCTACTAAAAATACAAAAATTAGCCAGGCATGGTGACGCGTGCCTATAATGCCAGCTACTCAGGAGACTGAGGCAGGAGAATCGCTTGAACCTGGGAGGCGGAAGTTGTGGTGAGCCAAGATCACGCCACTGCACTCCTGACTGGGCGACAGAGTGAGACTCCATCTCAAAAAAAAAAAAAAGAAAAGAAAATCAACACATAATGAAGTTATGTGTATATGAGTGTATGCCATGTATTTATGTATTATATGTGTGTGTATATATGTATGTTTGTACATATATGTTTCAGTAACCTATTGCTGTGTAACAAACCACTCCAAAACCTAAGGAGATACAATGACAACCATTTATCTTTCAGGATTCCATGAGTTAGCAGTTTGGGCAGGCTCAGCTGGAACACTCATCTTTACCTCACTTCGCATCAGCTGCAGCATCTTAGAAATGCAGGATAGCCTCATTCACACGTGGCGGTGGGTGCCAGCTGTCCACTGGGTTCCTGTGCTCTTTTTCAAGTGGTTTCTCATCCTCTGGGATGAGCAAGTTAGCTCAGATTTCTTTATGTGGAAACTAGCTTTCTAGAGGGTAAAAATGGAAGCTACAAGGTCCCAGAATGTCACTTCATAGGCCAGCCAAGAGTCAAGGGGAAGGAAACAGACTCCATCTCCTCATATTTGGATGGGATGGATTGTTGCAGCCACCTTTGGAAACAATCTATGGCAACACACAACAGCAGTGGACATCTGGGCCCTCACCAGGTGCCAGACGCCATTCTACCAGCTTCATATGGATGAACTCATTTAATCCTCCCAAACTCCATGAGGTAGGGTCTGTTAGTAATCCCAGTATGCAGATGAGGCAAATGAGGCAGAGAGAGTTTAAATAATTTGAGTCACACAGCTTGTTTGTGTGCTCAGAGCCCACGTTCTATGTGCCATTCCTATGCTCTACTGCTGTTCCTCTAAGTGTTGACACAGCTCACAGGCTGGGGCAGAATAATCAATATAATACGAATAACAGCAATTAAAACTAACCGTCTATGGAATTCCTGCTAGCAAGCATGATAGCTTTATGTTACTTCACTTCTTTGCTGAATCTTTATCTCCAGCCCAGAGCCTTGCAAGCTAGCTCTCAACCTTATTTTGTAGAAGAGAAAACAGGTGCAGAGAGGTTAAACAATTTGGATATTTTACCCAAGCAAAACATAATGGCAGCCCACTAAGTTGCATTAGCTACTCTGGGGAAAGGATGTGTGGATGAAAGGACAATGGGACAGCCCCTCCAGAACTGCTATGGGGAGCAGCCTAGATCCACAAACATCCTGGCCCTGGGCAGGGCGAGAGCCTGGCTGGTGAGAGGCCACTGCAGCCCTCCATGGACGGGTCGTACCTGAGATTAGTTCCTCGCTTGCTTGGGTCCTTGTTCTGACTATAGCTCATCTCCCTGCACTGGGAGCCTGCTGGAAAAGCTGTGCAGACTCGCAGAGGCCTGGGATCCTGGGCTGCTGGGCAGTTGTTTCACAAGACTCCTTGCCTGGAATGCTTTTCCTCCATCCTGGCTCAAAGGCCACCTCCTCAGAGAGGCCTTTCCTTGGCTGAGGGTGCCCCTTCCTCACAAGCCCTGCTTACCCCTGCTGCATGGCTTTCCTGGTGCTTATTCTCTGCTGTTAGTTACATAGATGGCTATGTTTTAATCTCCCCAACCAGAATGCATGCTCTATTAGGGTAGGTACTTTTATTTACAGCTACCTAGCATATAGTAGGTATTCAGTAAATATAAGGAAAAGAGAAAGAGTGAGAAAAGGAGAAAAAGAATTAGTATTCTGGTCTATATATTAATGTTTTATGATTTTGGTTAATGTTAGTCTATCCCCAACAGGCAAATCCATCCTTAGCCTGTTGACTACATTAAGTTTTGGAGCCTGATACGGGGTAGTACCAGACCTGGGAGAATTCACCAAGGCACGCTATGGCCTTGGGAACCCTTTTGGGGTCCAGCTGTCCTGTTCCCCTGGTGTTACTGTCTCTCCTGCTATACATCTGCTCTCTAACATCAGCAGATTGTATTTCCCAGGAGTGATGGTGAGTTTTCAAAACAGTGACTCTCCTCTGACAATTCTGTCTTCTACAAAGGCATGTTTAGTCATGTCCAGCTTCGACAGGCCTACGTCAGAGAGCACCCAAAAAGAGTGCTGCCCAAAGAAGCCACTGGCACTGTTCTGCAGGCCGTCTGCTCGAAGTCCACCTGGCCCCAGCCACTTGGCTCTCCCCAGCTTCTGCCCTTTGCCTCCAGCAGCCTCTGGACTCTGCTGGGCTGCAAGAGTTGATCTGGGCCTGGGTTAATGTGAGGTGCTTGGGTGTGTTTATTACCCTCCCAGAAGTAGATGGTGAGTTATCATCTCTTAGTCTCCCATGGACCCTTGTTCTGTTGGAGCTGGGAGAAGGGTAACCAGATGGAAAGAGATGGGTGTAGTGATAACATTCTTGATAATAACTAATTTTTTTTTAGCACTTACCAAGTGCCAGGGCCTCTGCTAAGCCCATTATATATATATATAATCTCACTTAATCCTCACAAAAACTCTATTAGGCATATTATTGCTATTACTCCTATCTGTAACAAAACTGAGTCACAGAGAGGGTAAGTGCATTTGCCAAGGTTAGGCAACAAACACAGGATTCAAACTCAAGTTTATATCATGCTTTTTAATATTTTAGAGATGGAGTCTGTGTTCTAGGCTGGAGTACAGTTGCTATTCACAGGTATAATCATAGCAAACTACAGCCTCAAATTCCTGGGCTCCAGCAATCCTCCTGCCTCCACCTCCCAAATAGCAGGGACTCCAGGCACCTACCACTGCACTCAGCTCATCCATGATGTGCTTTTATCACCACACCATAGCCCTTCCTCCCAATACCCCCAAGCAAGAAATAATTTCTCTCTTCCTCACCACAAGGCAGAATGACAGAGACTCGGCCTTTAGTACCCGTGATGCAGGCTGCCCAGCCTGAACTCTGACATCTTCCAGAGGGTACTCACCTCATGGCAGCCTCTCCAGGGGCTGGTGTTCCGAATGGAGGGGAACCGGCAGCTTCAGGCAGAAACCAAAAGCCACCCCAACCTCACCCTCCAGACCTCCTGGAGCCCTACTAGCAGTTCCTGTGATAAGCCTTTCAAGAAGACCTGTGGGTTCCAACAGAGTCATTTAAATCGTTTATTGCCCCATAAACAGGGCTCTGCAAGCCCTCTGCACTCCTGTGTTGATTCAAATGCGTAGTATCTGTCTTTTCAAGTTTGGATTTACCTTTCCCAGCTGCAGGTACTTCCTTATTCTGGGTAGGCTGACCTTTGTCAGAGCAAAGTTGATGTGCTGGACTGGCAGAATGCCCTCCCACCTTCCAGTCCTGCATGACAAGGAGCTGGAGAAACGTTCTTCCTTTCCCTTCAGCCTGAGGGAAGTGGGTTTACCTAAGGAGAAGAAAGGCTTGGCGAGGCAGTGGAAGAAATTAGACCTACAGAGTCCTCGCATCACCATCCTGAAGGCCCTCTGCTGGGGCCTCGCCTGGGACACAAGTTGCGACTCATTGCCCACTTTATCTCATGCAGTCCTTACAACTTCTTTTATTTTTTTGAGACACAGTCTTGCTCTGTTGCCCAGGCTAGAGTGTAGTGACATGATCCCGAGTTTAAGTGATTCTCCTGCCTCAGCCTCCTGAGTAGCTGGTATTACAGGTGCCTGCCACCACACTCATTTAATTTTTGTATTTTTAGTAGGGACAGGGTTTCATCATGTTGGTGAGGCTGGTCTTGAACTCCTGACCTTGTGATCCCCACATCTCAGCCTCCCAAAGTGCTGGGATTACAGGCATGAGCCACTGCTCCCAGCCCACACTTCTTTTTAGGTATTCCCACCTGAGATGAGGAAGCAGTACCCAGGAACTTATAACCTCAGGTGATCACATAGTTAACCAGTGGCTGCCTCAGGCAGGTTCTGATAGGAGTAAAATCCACTAAATGATTCTAATGAGGTTTTTGCTTAGGCAGAGGCAGGGTTAGGAAACAAGCAAAGCTGATGGGGCACCCAGAGACTAGCAACAACAGGAAGCTCTTACCACCTGTTGTGCCAAACCCCCTATTAACCTTAATAGGTGAGGCACTAGGCTCAAGAGGTGGAAGAGACCTCCAGCTAGAAAATAAGACAGGAGGATTTATTAGGGGGTTACATACAGAGGAGAGAGTCCCCTGACAATAGGCTGGACAGGAGAACTACCTTACATACAGAAATGGTCCAGTGTCCACGGGCTGGACAATATAACTGCATGGCCCCGTGGTGGCGGCAGAGCAGGAAAATTGCAACCACCTGCTAACATCATTCAGTTTATATAGCATTTTCACCCTTTCCCTAAAACTTCCACCTGACAAACTTCATTTAACCCAAAACACAGGGGCTCAGTCCTCTGTACATCTGTCTTCTATGGGACGGAATGGGACAGTGGCTCAGATGTTTGTCATAGATAAGGAACAAATCTCTGGATTGACCACTCACAGATTCCCTAGCTCAGAACATACATTCATGTGCATCTGCCATATAGGGTCATTCTAAGGGTATCCTTGAATTATTACTCTCAGGATGGGCTTGGTGGCTCACACCTGTAATCCCAGCACTTTGGGAGGCCAAAGTGGACAGATCACTTGAAGTCAGGGGTTTGAGAAAAGCCTGGCCAACATGGTGAAACCCCATCTCTACTAAAAATACAAAAAGAAGGCAGGCATGATGGTGCTCACCTGTAGTCCCAGCTACTTGCGAGGCTGAGATGGATCTCTTGAACCTAGGAGGCAGAGGTTGCAGTGAGGCGAAATTGCCCCACTGCACTCCAGCCTGGGCAACTGAGACTCTGTCTCAAAAAAAAAAAAATTATTACTCTCAGATGCATGTACCCTATACTACCCCGAAGCCTAACAGGTCAAAGAGCGAAAAGAGTACAACCAGAGATGAGGGGTGAGAATTGGAACCATGGGAATAGACCTAAGAATCTTGGAGAGACACTCACTGCCAGGATCAGGCTCCAAAGCAAGGAGGGAACAGGAAAAAAATATCCCTACCTCTCTTTTCTCCACCTCTCCCATCCCTTCCATTCCTCCCATAGCCAAACCCATGCAGAAGCCAGAGCCCAAGGAAACCAGGATGATGCAATCTAAAGAGGTCAGTCACCCAGGCACAGAGCAGTGTAGAGAAGGATGGGGTTATGGGTTGTGGCAGAAGGAGCATAACCAGTATAGAGGTGGAGCTGGACTTTGAGCCATGAACTCTTTTTTTTTTTTTTTTTGAGATGGAGTTTCACTCTTGTTGCTCAGGCTGGAGTGCAGTGGTGCGATCTCTGCTCACCGCAATCTCCGCCTCCCAGGTTCAAGTGATTCTTCTGCCTCAGACTCCCACATAGTAGGGATTACAGGCGTGCACCACCATACCCAGCTAATGTTTTTGTTTGTTTTTTAGTACAGATGGGGTTTCACCATGTTGGTCAGGCTGGTCTCAAACTCCTGACTTCAAATGATCCATCACCTCAGGCTCCCAAAGTGCTGGGATTACAGGTGTGAGCCACTGCACCCAGCCATGCCATGAACTCTTGAGAGCCCTGATGCTTTGCTGTGGTTCTTTCAAGCTGAGACACCTTCCTACCACGAAGCACCATTGACTCTGGTGCAAGCCCTCTCAGAGATCCTGTCACGGGTCTAGCTCAGATATTAATTAGAATGATCCTTTCCCTACTTTTTTCTCTTCCTTGCTCCTGTAGGAATCTCTCCCAGATAATGAAATTGACTGGGCCCAGGCTTCTGGCCAGCTGGATCCCACCACAGCCCTAACTGCTGATTCCACATTCGTTGGGATTTTTGCTTACATGGCCCTACAATGGGTCCTGGAGAAAGCTCTTTCCGTTTCTGACCAACCATCTCCCCTCCCCATCCTTCACCCCGCTAGTCTAGTGTTTCCACCTAAGCCTCACATTTTTCTCTGCAGATTTGGCAGCCCTTGTCATGAGTGGGCAGTTGCTGGTAGCATTACTGCTGTCTGTTGCCATTCTGGGGCAGGGACTGAGGATGTGCGGTGAATTACCCAGACCAGAAGGAAGCTCAGAAGGCACTGGTCCTCTCAGGTAGCACCCAGATCCAATGTGAGCCATGAGGCATGAGGGCTGGTTAAGTGAAAAGCTTTGGAGTGCTGACAGGTGGTCCCTCTGTTGTGCCAGGAAATTACTTCAGGGCAAGAAAAACAAAGGGGAGTCCATCTTCTAATGTAACTGGCGCCACAGCAACAAGGTGTGTCAGCTATAAATTCTCTCTCTCTCTCTCTCTCTCTCTCTCTCTCTCTCTCTCTCTCTCTCTCACAGATTCTAGCCTGGGGACTGGCCTCAGGCTAGTCAGAAATTTGCCTGAAAACATCATTCCTTGGGGTGGTGGGACTTCTGAGTAAGCCAGTCTGACTTGAATTTTGACTTCTCATACTCCATTCTATCCACCCACCTGAATGCTGATCTCTACCAACTGTCTGTGTGCCTTGCATTTCAATCAGCAGCCTTACAAAGGATGAGGAGGAGGAGGAGGAGGATGATAGCCAACATTGACTGTTCTTTAGCTACTGTTCTAAGTACTTTACAAATACCAGATAATTTCATCTTCATAACACTGTTGTTACTCCCATTTTACAGATGAAGAAACCAAAGCTTAAATAGATCACATGATTTGGTCAAGGTCACCCATGTCATAGAGGCTGAATCCAAAACTAGTGAAGCCTCCGGAGCCCAGGCTCTAGCCATGACCCTGTGTTGCCTATTGATGATACAGTGTAGGTTTTTTCCTTCTTTTTCTTTTATTGAAAGTCTTTATTGAATTATAATTGGCCTACCACTAACTGCAATATGTGTTTTTTAAATACAATTTGATGAGTTTTGACATGCATACACCCATAAAACCACTGTTACAATCAAGATAATGAGTATGTCCATCATTCCCAAAAGCTTCCCTGTACCCCTCGGTAACCCATCCCTCACTCCCCGCCCCATCCTGTTCCTAGGCAACCAATCATCTGTTTTCTGTCAGATTAATTTGCATTTTCTGGAGTTTTATATATGGAAACAGACAGCATGTACTCTTTTTTGGTCTGGCTTCTTTCACTCAGTATAATTATTTTTAGGTTTGTCCATATTGTTGCATGTATCAACAGTTCAATCCTTTCTATTGCTGAGTACTATTCCATCATAGAGGTGTACTAAATTTGTTTATTCAATTCTTGATGGACATTGCATAGTTTACAAATCAAGCTGCTATGAACTTTCAAGAGCAAGTCTTTTGTGAACATATTTTCAGTTCCCTAGGGTAAATATCTGGGTGGACAATGGCTAGATCATATAGTAAGTGTATGTTTAATTTTGTGAAAAATGGCCAAACTATTTCCCTAGGTGGTCATACCTTTTTACATCCCCACCAGTGTATGAGGAGTTCCAGTTGCTCCACTTCCTGAACAACATTTGGTATAGTCCTTTTTTTTTTTTTTTTTGAGACAGAGTCTCACTCTTGTTGCCTAGGCTGGAGTACAGTGGCCTGAATATGACTCACTATAGCCAAAGCCTCCCAGGCTCAAGTGATCCTCCCACCTCAGTCTTCTGAATAGCTGGGACTACCAGGCCCAGCTAATTGAAAAAAAAAATTTTATTTTAGAGACAGGATCTCACTATGTTGCCCAGGCTGGTCTTAAACTTTTGGGCTCAAATGACCCACCCATGTCAGCCTCCCAGTGTGCTGGGATTATAGGCATGAGCCCTGTGCCCAGCTGGTATATTCTTCCTAATTCTAGCCATTCTAGTAGATATGTAGTAGTTTCTCCTCCAGGTATTAATTTGCATTTCCCACTAATGACTAATTATATTAAACTACCTTTTCATTTGCTTATTTGCCATCTTTATATCTTCTTTCGTGAAATGTTTGTTAAAATCTTTTTGACTGCTTTTTAAAAATTAGGTTGTCTTACAGAGTTGTAGGAGTTCTTTATATATCCTGGAACAAGTCCTTTGTCAGAAATAGGTTTTGCAGCTTTTTATACGTCTCACCTTTTCAGTTTTGTAACAATGTCTTTTAAAGAACAAAAGTTTTAAATTTTGAAGTCCAACTTACTGATTTTTAAATAGCTAAGGCTTTTTCTTCCCCTGATGAATGAAGAGAAGGCATTATCTGTTTTGTTGTTGTTTTTTGTTTTTTGAGACAGAGTCTCACTGTCACCCAGGCTGGAGTGCAGAGGCACCATCTCAACTCACTGCAACCTCCGCCTCCCAGGTTAGAGCGATTCTTGCGTTTCAAGCCTCCTGAGCAGCTGGGATTACAGGCGTGCACCACCACGCCTGGCTAATTTTTGTATTTTTAGTAGAGATGGGGTTTCACCATGTTGGCTAGGCTGGTCTCGAACTCCTGACCTCAAGTGATTCACCTGCCTTGGCCTCCCAAAGTGCTGGGGTTACGTAAGCCACCGCGCCCTGTTTTTTTGTTTTTTTTGTGTGTGTGTGGTAAAATATGCAAAACATAAAATTTACCATTTTAACCTTTTCTTTTCTTTTTTTTTTTTTTTTTTTTTTTGAGCTAGGGTCTCACTCCTGTTGCCTAGGCCGGAGTGCAGTGGGTCTGGCTAAGTTTTTGTATTTTTAGTAGAGACGGGGTTTCATCATGTTGCCCAGGC